GCCCTTAATCAAAGTTAACCCATGAGAGTCATCCATCACATTTGCTTTTGTCTTTCTCTGTCTCTGTGTCTGTGTCTCTCTCTCTGGGCTAAATAGGAAAAGTGTGAGTTAAGTAGCAGCAGGGGGTCTAGAATAAAGAAAGGCTGTTAATGAGCCTTAGAAAGATGACTATGGGGAGGGAGACAAAATGATACTATCACTCTCAGTTGTCAAGTTTTACTGATATAGGAAATATAGGAGAAAAAAGTTAGGATAAATAAAATGAGCTCCACTTTGAGTATGTCAAATCTCATATGCAATGGCATCCAGGCTGAAAGATCCTTCAAAGACTTAGCTCTATCACTCTGAAACTCAAGAAAAAATGTTGGGACAGAGAAATATATGTGGGCTCTGTCATAAGCTAAGGTGCAGACAAAATTAAGATCAACCAGGACAAGCACATAAAGTTAGAAAACAAAACACAACCTGGAGTTTTTTCTGCTGACAGTGTTCCTGCAAATATGGTGATTGTTCTTAAAACCCACTGAACTTTCTGTAAGAAGTATGGTGAGCATCAACCCCACAAAGTAGCATCATACAAGAAGGGCAAGGATTCTCTGTATGCCCAGGGGAAGCAGCACTATGACAAGAAGCTGAGTGGATATGGTGGTCAGATCAAGTGATTTTCCAGAAGAAGGCTAAAGTTACAAAGAAGATTGTGTTGAGGTTTAAGTGCATTGAGCCCAACTGTAGATCAAAAGAAAATGCTGGCCATTATGAGATGAAAGTACTTTGAACTGGGAGAAGATATGGAGAGAAAGGGCCAAGCGGTCCAGTTCTAAGGTTTATCTTTTGTTTTATTATAAGAAAAATAAAACCTTGAGGGTTTCCTAAAAAATGAAATTTAAAAAAATAAATTACAATAACATGGGGAAAAGCTATTCCTTCCTGGCATATTATAAGAACTTCTCCAACAAAAATACAGAGCCAGAAAAAAAATTCTTTTGATTTTCTGAAAGCTTTCTGCAGTACTAGCTGTCCTAGTACTGATACCTGGCACTTGTGGAGGCATATAGAGTAAATACATTTTGCCACTTCTTTTGAGTAAATGGAAACCAACATCTGGAGTATGGATAGACATAACCTGCCATACTCAGTTTCCATTTTGATAAGATGCCCCATCATACCACAAATCAGGTGCATTCCAAGTCTGTGGTACGTTGTTTTGTTGTTAGGTGCCATCTAGCCAGCTCCAACTCATAGCTTGTACGACAGAATAAAGCACTGCCTGGTCCTATTACATCCTCAAAACCCTTGCTATGCATAAGCCTACTGTTGCACTGTATCAAGCCATCTCATTGAGGGCCTTTCCCTTATTCACTCACTCTCTACTTTACCAAGCATGATATTCTTCTCCAGTGCCTGTCCCTTTTGACAACATGACCAAAGCAGGTAAGAGGAAGTCTTGCAAATCTCACTTCTAAGAAGCAATTCTAGCTGTTCTTCTCCCAGGACAGAATGTGAAATACTAGAAGGTACCTGCTATAAGCCACCAATATAATACCTCTTTTACCAGCCTACAAAAAAAATTTTTCCCAGCAAATATGGCATATTTTCAAGTGTTTTACAGAATTAATGTTCCTAATAGCTGATTTCTGTACTATTGACCCAGAAGAGATTACTAACATTCTCAAGCAAATATTTATTTCTAAGTTTTAATCAAACTCTTGCAAGAAGGCAAGACTCAGAGATGTTAAGTAAATTCCCCAAAGTTAGAAAGTTACATGGCCAACCACCACTGCCCTTGAGTCAGATCCAACTCATAGCAACCCCTCCTTGGGTTTCCAAGGTGTATCACTACAGAAATAGATTGCCCAACCTTCCTTCCAAGGAGTGGCTGGTGGGTTTGAACTGCCAGCCTTCTGGTTAGCAGTCAAATGCCTTAGGCACTAAGCCACCAGAGCTCCCAGTTACATGGCAGAGATTTAAGCCCAGATATATCTGGTTCCGGAGACTGTGCTCTTGCCATTATCACACATGTAATTTTCAAACAGTAAGAAGGTGCCATGGTTGGCATAGGGAGAGAATAGTGGCTGACTGTGAACCTCCAGGCAACTCATCTCCCAGCATCAATGGGGGAGCTTTGCTTTAATCACTTTATATACAGAGTTCTGAGTATGATAATAATTGAAAAAAGTATTTCTGTGTTTGAAAAAAAGTTGTCTGAAAACCTCTACATTAAATTGATGCCATAATACTGCCACTATCTGCACTATTGAAAAAAAGGGACAGAAAGCTTTTATTAAAGCTATGATCTATATATAAAATTAGTTCAGTAATAATTTTTCCATAAACAAGGAAAAGAATTAAATGCATTTAAATTTTAGTACTATTTTTATCTCTGGTTGAGAACAAGTTAAAAAGGACAAATAAGGAAAGAAGATCTACACAAAATCAAAATATTAACAGACACATAAACTTAATATATTCTTCTTATTAAATACTACAATACTATCATATAGGCATCCCATAAATTAAATTCACTGCTGCCAATTTTGACTCATAGTGACCCTATAGGCAGAGTAGAACTGCGCATTGGGTTTGTAAGGCTATAAATCTTTATAGAAGTAGACTGCCACATCTTTCCCTGCAGAGCAGCTAGTGAGTTCTAACCACCAACCTTTCAGTTAGTAGTTGAGTGCTTAACTATTGTACTATCAGGGCTCCTCAAAATAGGCATAAGGACCATTTCTCTTCAGTGAGATTATATTGTTGAACTAAGATTCTTCAACCTCTACATGTCAATTAATAAACAGTGACAGTAAGAAAAAATAGTATTTCTTTACAATAACCAATTTATTTATAAGATTAAAAATAAGCGTTATGAATCATAAATAACTGATACAAATACGTCCTAGACTAATATTCCTGGAGGTCTAGGAACATCACAGGCCTATATCAACCACTGCTTAACAGATGTTAGAACCTATACCAAAGGTATACCAATAGCCCTATGAGTTTAGTCAATTGACCTCTCTAAGAGTCACTTTCTTCAGTTAGAAAAAGGAGATAAAAATGTTGATTAACACTGTAGCATGAACAAAACACAACTAAATTGACAATAAAAGGATTTTTGTTTTAAGTTACAAACACATTAAGTACAAAGACAGAAAGAAAACAGGTATTAGCAGATAAGAGACTTCAGAAGAGGTTTGGAAGGGAAAGGCAGAAGAAGAACACTAACTGAGCAGAGGAAGCTTCTATCCAAGAATCTGCAAAGGGAGAGTCTGATCATAAAATGAATAATTTATCCTATAGGCAACCTGGAAAAACTCAGAATTTGGAGATACCAGCTACTACATAAGGCAATGTGAGACATGGGATTAAAAGTAAAGACATATTTAAAACTGAAAGAGAGGAAGAAAGCCATAGAGTCCATGCAGGGGTAAACCTGGAGACTGGCTAATACTTGGCTGTGGAAGAAGACTAAGTGAGAAATGTTATAAAATCTTCTAATAGGATTTAGTAGACAAATATAAATGGAAAGGAAGGGAAGAAAGAGAAGGGAAGCAAAGATGATCCTGATTATTTTTTTCTCTTTCAATAAATAATTGTATTGTTTACTATTATAGGGTTGTTGTTGTGTTGTTGTTATGTGCCGTCGAGTCGGCCCCGACTCATAGCGACCCCTCCTTGGGTTTCCGAGGCAGCATCACTACGGAAGTAGGATTGCCCAACCTTCCTTCCGAGGAGTGGCTGGTGGGTAGATGAGAATAAAGAATGAAAACTTTACTTTTACTATATCTAATGCCACCAGCCACTCCTCGGAAGGAAGGTTGGGCAATCCTACTTCCGTAGTGATACTGCCTCGAAACCCAAGGAGGGGTCGCTATGAGTCGGGGCCGACTCGATGGCACATAACAACAACAACAATGCACTTGGACCTTATATTATTTTCAAAAACATTAAAGAAAAAAAAAAAAGTCCCTTTATCAGTTGTGAAAAATTCAGATGACTTCCTTATCCTTCTACTGACCAAGCTAATTTACTCTGAAATTCCTAGAAAGGATGTTCCTTGGCTCCTTGTCACAAATCACGTACAAAGAAAGTAATTGGGGCCAAAGCTTAAGAATTGCAGGGTAATTGGCAAAATATGACCATATGCCTGGCCTCACATCATCAAAAAATACAAAAGTCCAATTTAAAGAAAATCTTTAATGACAAAAAGAAATGATGCAAAGTTTAATGATATTCCAGGAGCTCTGGTAGCATAGTGCCTAAGGCATTTGACTATTAACCAGAAGGCTGGCAGTTCAAACCCACCAGCCACTCCTCAGAAGGAAGGTTGGGCAACCTGCTTCCGTAGTGATGCTGTCTCGGAAACACAAGGAGGGGTCGCTATGAGTCAGATATGACTCTGTGGCAGTGGGTTTGGGTTTGGTTTTTTTTTTTTCCTATCAAAAATTATCTAGGTGGGTATATTAGCTTATATACTTTTCATGTTTGTTCTGGCAAAGCAAAGGATCAGTTCATATGTGAGCTCACCAAACATCCCATGACCTAGCAATGACATGTAAGAACATGTTATTAACTTCTACACCCCCAAAATCACTATTAATTGCCAGCAGTACTGCAGAAAACACAACGTAAATCAAAGAACCTTCCAGGGAAAAGAGACCATGGAAGTACGTAACCCAATTTACACATTAGAAAACTAAGACACAAAGAAGTTGAATGCCTTGGCTGAAGGTCACTGAGCTGGTTAGTGGCAGAGCAGAGCTAAGATAAGAACATCGCTCTCTGAACTCTCTTCTTCTTGCTGTCTTCTCTTCTGTTCTTATAATGAAGAAATAATGCCTAATTGATTTGGGCTGACTTTCTCCATAAAATAATCCTATGGTACCCTTACTGAAGGAGCTCTTACTGAAACGCAAAATGAGACAACAGAATCTAAAAAAGGAAGATTGAGCAGAAATTTAGAAAAATACTTGATATAAAATAATATTAATTAAAAACTATACCTTTATGGCTTCTGATGAATATACATTTTCCTTTTTCTGACTTGTGCTCATGGGCTCATTTTCAACACTGAAAAATAAAAAAAATCACAGTTTATTTTGAAATTAAAAGAGAACTACTGAAGTAATATAGCTTTTGTGTTTATACCAGTAATTGAAGGGCACTTCATTTGCAAAGCTCAATCACTAATATACAAAACGTTATACTTAGACTTTGTTGGAGCGAACCTCCAAACATGAAAAGCACATTAAAAAATACTCATCGAGGCTTTTTGGAAGTTTTTTATTTCATTATGATTTATGATCTTATGTTGGTGAACAGCATCAGAGTAATGACACACCTGAACAGAGGAGCACAATGGACCACTATCATTATCTTGAAAAGTGTTAGCACACTAAGATTTTATTTAAGTAGTTTCTCCATAGCTTGACTTTTAAAAATACCGATGCAGAGTATTACTTAGAATAAAATATATGTCTACTCAGCAAATTATAAATATATAGGGTCCCCTAATGAATTCTAGAAACAATCAAAATAGATGTAGGCTTGGGTCTGGGCCCAAAATGTGTCCATATGGTACGTTAAAAAAATCCAATTTTCCAGGCAGTCTCTTCTGTCTTTTTTCTAGAATACCTTCACAGATGTCTTATATGTCATAATAAACTATTTTGCCTATTAGACACATCAATTTTATATCCAAATATTTATATTTGTTTATATTTCATCTTTTTTCATATTTTCATAATCCTAGACAAACTGAGAAGCTCTAAAGGTAATATGATTGTCTCCCATGTACATGGAATTGTGCCTGGCCTTGAGTATATAAATGAATAAGTCACGGACTAGTAGGAGCAACTGATATGCAAACAATCCTTACCCATACAGTTTGGTAGAAGTTATTATATGCTGAATGAACAAAATGGTATGGAGCACAGAGGAAACAAGAATGGTAGATTTTGCCTGATCAGTAGGTACTCACTGAGGAGGTACAAAGGCAGAAATATCAGACCATATGGCATTATTAGGAAATCATTTTTCATGCATTTGTTTTTAATATATGACTAGAGCATAAGAACTTGCAACAGGCAGAGGTAGTCCTGCCATAAAGGAGAATGAGACCAGGTGTTACTGAAATGCCACACTATAAAGAACTGGCCCAACAAGTCACAAACTTTGATCTTTGTCCTATATGTAGCTTCTTTAGAGCCTTTAGGCAGAGGACTAAGAGTGTCTGACACCAATGGAATCAGGGCAAATAATGGTGGAGAGTCAATAAAGAAGGAGGTGTTAACATCTCAGATCAAATGAAGGACACTTCAAAACAGACAGGATGGAAAGAGAGGCCAAGATTTATGCTACTTAGACTTTCTCTCTGTAAAACCCAGTGCTATTAAGTAGAGTATCCAGGGAACAAATGGCCAAAGGACAGAAAAAGATGACAGAAAATCGTGAACACCTAGAAATACAAGGGATCACTACTTCATTAAATCCTACACTTTATAAAGGAATACATAGGAATACATGAACCAACAAGATACAGCCCTGCTCACAAAAGTTTTACATGCCAATAAGAAAAGTAAGCACATTAAAAAAGTAAACATGTGAGCTAAATGTTAACCACATAGAAAACTACACAATCAGGGGACAAAAGTTGAAAATACAATAATTTCTTTTCAGAATGGTGACCTATATACATATACATAGTAGCTTTGATGGCATAGTGGCTAAGGCATTTGACTGCTAACCAGAAGGCTGGTTAGCAAACCCACCAGCCACTCCTCAGAATGAAGATGGGGCGGACAATCTACTTCCGTAGTGATATTGCCTCAGAAACCCAAGGAGGGGTCACTATGAGTCAGATTCAACTCCAAGGCAATGAGTTTGGTTTTTTGGTATACATATACATATCTTGATAAGACTGTCTCAGATGGCTGCTGTTTTAAAAGTGATTTTTACCTTCTTTTTCCTCTACTTTAGTAGTTTTATCTTTTGGTATATGGTTATTTATAGTTCAGTTTAATTTTTATTAAATCTGAATCAATATAGGTCTATTTAAGTTCAAAATTAAAAAGAAAAGTTGATACAATAAAATTAAATCCATACCTCAAACTCTCCATATACGTAAGCGCCCTCACCCACTCACCCACCCACCCACCCACACAAACACTTTTAGGTGGATTAAGGATCGATTATGAATAAATTTTAAGGAGCTCTGGTGGTGCAGTAGTTAAGGCATTTGGCTGCTAATCAAAAGGTTGGTGGTTCAAACCCACCAGCTGCTCTGTAGAAGAAAGATGAAGCAATCTGCTTCCATAAAGATTTATAGCCTTAGAAACCTAATGGGGGTCGCTATGAGTTAGAATTGACTCAATGGCAGTGAGTTTGGTTTTGGATGAATAAACCTTAACACTATGATTTTAAATATATGTAAGACTGAACTAGACAGCAGTGGTGACTGCACAATACTATGAATATAGTTACTGAACCATATATACTATTAAATGGATAAAATGACAAATTTTATGTTATGTGCACTTTATTACCAAAAGGAAAAAAAAAGTAAATGAGCAAAACACATGTAAAAACATAGGAATTTGAGGTATAATCAAGAATAACTTACACTGATGATTTTATAAATATATTCTTTAACTATAATCTATTTTGAATGACCTAAAAATCATCTGACCATACAACAGGCTTTTAGTTTTAGTCTCCTCATTTCTTGCTTCAAAATTCCTAAAATTCTACTTCAGCGTGTTTACAGGGCTGTCTATAAACATACTGCAGAGAATGTAGCTCTGGGTCCATGGGATTAAGGTAGAAATGAGTCTTTTAAATAGCTGCAATTACTTCAAATGCACAGTATAAACAGACACAAATACACACACCAGACAAACAAGGCAGTAAATCAGAGCACAGAGAAGCAGTTCATATTGAGCAAAAAGTAGAAACCACTAAAAGCACTATCACATTTTTACAACTTTCTAAGACTTAAACCCTATGTTTAAGTTTCACAATGTTTATTGCTAAACCAAAATTTAAAAATATATTGCTTTTAAAGCAAACTCAATACATTTTTAAAGTTTGGGTTTGCTCTAAAAATCACTTCTTTAATTAAAATTTTCACCATTTCTCATTGAGATTACTAGAATCCCTTCTTAATTGGCCTCTGGCATCTTCAGGATTCCTCTGCTTCAATCCATTCTTTGAAAGGCTGTCAAAGCGATAGTTAATCTAATCATGTCACTCCCCATTTAAAAATCCTTCAACAAATCTCTGTCAATTGATAGATCAAATGAATAGTCCATAGCATTTATCCAGAAAGATATTCATGCCCTGTCCCCAGACACTCTCCACCACAAGCCCAATATACTCCTGTCACAAAGAACCACTTCACATTCCTAGAATGTGCCAAGTATACATGCCAGCAAACCATATTCTCCTGTGTGCCCTCCTTTCCTGTCCTCACCAATTCTTAATCCTCTACAATTTAATTCCAGCTTTCTCTGTGTAGTTTTTGTGCTCCCACTCTATCCAGTCATACCTCTCAAACAGCTGGCTGCCCATTTGCCCAACTAGAATATGATCTCATTAAACTCAAAATGGTGTCCCTTATGCCTCAGACTCTAACTTTGTGTTTGGCATCATGAAAGAACTCAAATTCTATTTTTTAAATGAATTAAATATAAATATATACACACACATACATATATATATATGTATCAAACAAGCTCTTCAATTATGCCTAAATTAGAAAACAGCGTTCCGCTGGGAACATAATAATATACACCAGTCCTTCTTCGTTGGTGAAAAATATGAGTACCATATGAGGCCATGGACTGCCAGAACAACCGACAAATCTGTTTTGGAAGAAATATAGCCAGAATGTCCCTTAGAACCAAGGATGCAGGACTTCATCTCACATCCTTTGCACACGTTATCAAGAAGGACCAGTCTATGGAGAAGGACATCATGTTTGGTAAAGTAGAGGGTCAGTGAAAAAGAGGAAGAGCCTCAATGAGATGGATGACAATGAACTCAAATAGCAACAACTGTGATGATGGAGCAGTGTTTCACTTTGTCATACATACAGGTGTTATGAGTGGGAACCAACTCAATAGCACTTAACAACCGAACAGTGGTATTTTCTTTTTCCTTAATGAAGTAGTATATAACTCTACTGAAAGAATAAATCAGCTGTTAGTGTTCCATACAATCTTTGTCTAAAGGCATAGAGAGGGTAATGGGGGCTGGTGGAAGAACTTAAGTATTCAACATGAACAAAGTCATTTTCAGGTGAGTTAAAAGGAAAACAAACTAGAACACAGTAGAAAATGGTAATCAAGACAGTGGATACATAGGTGCTTGAACAATTTCTTTCAGAAAGATCAGCTACAAGATGGTCCCCATGAGGAGGAAGTTAAAGATGTCCCAAATATCAAAACTACCGTGTCACTTCATCATTTCAGACATTAACTCCTCCTCCTCCTCCCAGTAATTTCCCCAGTCTTAGGGTTCTGTATTTCGCTGTAACACCTCACAGAACTCACAGACACCCAAGGGTTTGTCTCACGTAGTAGTGGTGGAGGCTGGCAGCCTGGCAATTCCCAGGTCCGTGAGTGGGTCTGGAGGATCCTCCCAATTCTCGGGGTTTGATGAACCTCGATCAGCAGATCAGATGACAGCTGCTGTCCCAAATTCTGGGTGAGATGAGGATGAGCCAAAACACAGAACCGGAGCAAGAAGAGGGCCAACCTGCCCAAGAGATTCGTAGCTATACCCTCAAGGAAGCTAAGAGTGGTGATTTGAATTATACCCTCCAGCAAGGCAGGACTCAAGAAACATTCCACCTGTGTTGCCCCAACAGAAATAACCTAAGTGGATGGCTTTAACAATCAGCAGCTCAAGGCAAATCCCATCACCGAGCTGATTGCCAGTCATTATACGGAACAACTACTACCAGCTGCCCAGCGAAGTTGATACCTACCACACCACCCCAAACAGGCATGGATCATAGGACTTACAACACATCAAAGAATGGAGGACAATGGCTAGAAAGGCCACATCAA